GCCAGGCTGGGCCGTGTTCGGAGGGAGCAGAGCGGGGTCAGGTGGGTGGGTGGCAGGCACGGAGCACTGCGGCGTGGCCCGGTACCTCCCGCGGCCGGTGAAGGCAGCATGTTACCCTGGTCGGCGGACACGGGCAAGGAGGCAGCGCCGGAGCACCCGGGAGAGGCCTGCAGCCCCGGAGAAGACACCCTGAGGGAGCCAGGAAAATCCCCACAGGACAGGTAAGGGCTTGGCCCGGCCACTCGGGGCCATCAGACTGGGGGCCCCTGAGGCCTTTGCCCGGCTCTTTCTGTAAGATTAAGAATAAAAATGTTTCTGTGAGATTAAGAAGAATGGAAATTTCATTGTCCCTGGGGCCAGGCACCCTGGCCCTGCCACTAAGCTCAAAGGAGTATTTAGGAGGGGCCAGAGAGTGGAGAAGTCTGAGTGGAGGTGTCATTCCCTTCCCCAGCCTGCAGTCCACAGCCCTCAGGCCTGTGGGGCCCCGGAGGCGACAGCTGCTGCCCCGCAACCCGCCTGTCCTGGCTCCTGAGCCATCCTCGAGAATCCCAGGTAGGCCCGAGTCTTGCTGCCTTTACTAACCCCGACACCCCCTCTGCCTCTGTGTCTGTCCTAATCTGTTCGGGTGCCCCCCAGTCCCGCTTTCTCCCCAGGTGCCTTCCTTGGGGATGACCCTGTTCTCACCCTGGGACCCCAACTTTGGTGCTAAAGCACAACCTCAGCCAGTGTGGGTGAGCTGGGAACCTCTGGCCGTGACTCAGGGTGGCCGGGGTGTCTCAGGGAGGTGCTGAAGCTCATTGCCCTCTCCTGCCCTCCGCAGACACCCAGCTGTGGGCCAGGTGCCTCCTTCTCAGGTCGGACACTGTGTCATCCCTCCTTCTGGCCCATGTACGAGGCCTGGGGCAGGGGCCACAGGTACCAGGCCCCCAGCCCAGGGTGTCAGAATGGACATCAGGCACCCAGGGATGCAGGTACCTCTGCTCGGGAGTGTGATGCCCACCCTGGGACATGGGTGGGAGGCCCCAGGCTGCCATCCTCCAGCTCCATCCTCTCCTCACAGGGTTCCCAGTGATGTGCTCTGAAGATGTCTTTTTCTTGGACCCTCTGCTGCCCCCTGGGCAGCGTGTTCCCCTGTGCTTGTCTGAGGGCCCTCAGCAGGTAAGTGACTGCCTCCTGGTACCCGTGGGCTTTCATGTGGGGTACCTGTGTGGAAACACTTCTCCTCCTCTCCTCAGGCCCTGGGCTCAATGAAGCTGCAGCTCCCGCCACCCGTCATGTCTCCCTCAGTCCACCCCTCCCAGCCCAGGGTCTCCTGCATGGCCCAGCTCAGTGGGCCCGAGCTGATCGCCATCACTGGCCTGCTGTTGATGAGCCAGGGGGAGCCCAGACCCGGCTCCTCAGCAGCTCCTCCAAGTCCTGCCAGCCCTGCGGAGCCCATCGCTGACCACCAGAGCTCTTCTGAAAGCACTGATCCATCTCTGCCTAGGTCCTCAGATACGCAGTGTCCATAGCACCCCTGGGGCAGAGTGCCCCTCCTGCCGCCCACCATTCTGTTGATAATAAAACTTTTGGTTTGCAAAAAGACTCCCTGTGGCAGGTAACAGAGCTCAACAGGGAGGCAGGGAAATTCTTGTTAGTCAGTGGTCACTCTTTACCATGGGGCAGGGATTTCACTGACCTAAGAAGGCCATGAAGCAGGCCTTTAATGCACGGGTGGTGGTCCAGTCTTGGGCTGGAGCTGAGCCTTTAGGAATTCCGGTTGGGAGAAGAGAGGGTTGTGTACACCCATGACTGGCCCTGGGAGAAGTAGATAGAAGAAGGGGCACATCTCCTTTGGGGATGCTAGTGGTGAGATCCCCGGTGCTCCCACACCTCTTGTGCTGAAGGCCCTGGATTCAGCCCTGGGGCTGGGCTAGGCTGGGCAAAGCTGGCTGGATAGTTCTTTGGCTCACAGGAGATATACACAATTGCTGCAGGTGTGTGTGTGGGGACCCAGTTGATCCAAATGGGAGTCTGCATCTGTGGCATTGAGACAGCCGGCCTGAGATTGATTCTGTAGGAACACTGCAGGAAAACAAGATCAGGTCTTCAGCTGAGACAGCCTGGTTGAACTTTTGAGGGGAACAGAAAGTATGAGGGGCTCTAGAATTCTCTCTTAAAAGAATCCAACTTAATAGCTGGGCTTGGTGGCACACACCTGTAATCCCTGTACTTTGGGAGGCTGAGGCAGGAGGATCCCAAATTCAAGCCCAGCCTGGGGAACTTTGTGACTTAGACCCTGTCTGAAAATAAAAAGGGCTTGGTGCAAGATCCCTGGGTTCAATCCCCAGTACTGCAAAATAAATCCAACTCGTGGGGCACTTCCTCTGGAGGATTTCTTGAATGCCACAGCTGGAAGGGACCGAGCAGGCCTAGGGTAGCACAATGCCTTTGCATGTGGGCGACAGAGTCTGAGCCTTGGAGACCTTCAGCCGGGGTAGGAGGAATGAGAAGGCACGGGGAGTGGTAACCATAGTGTTGCCTGATTTCCCCATGCTCTTAGTCACTCCTGGCACCCACGGGGATGTAGCCCCCACCCTGATCCAAGCCTCTGGGTTAGGAAGCAGCTACCCCCAGCCTTGCCAAAGTCTTGAGGGTTGCTTGCTCCATGCTTTTCCCCAGGTCTCCTGATTGGGCCACAGAGGCTGGGGTCCGCTAAGATTTGGGGACGGGATCTAGAGGTATTCATTGCAGGATCCCCAAGTAGTGGCTCAGCCAGGCCACAGGCACCACTGCCCTTAAGTCTCTTTATGGCAGCCAGGACATCCTTGTGGATGCTTTGGGCCACTGTGGTGTCAAATGCCTGAAGCCACGGCTCCCCCAGCCCTATGGGCGACAAGCCTCTGAGCTCAAGGACGTGCTTGGGCTGGGGATTTAGCTCAGTGGTGCCACCCCTATCTTGAAAGCATAAGGTCCTGAGTTTGATCCCCAGTACCAAAAAGAAAAGAGAAAAGAAAAAAAGACGGAGTCCTGGTGGCCACAGCGGCACATGCTGAGCAGGGACAGATGTAGGGTGGGCAGTGACGGCCAGGTGTCCCCTGAGCCCCCACCCTAAGCTCCTGCAGCAGGCTCAGCACTCAGATCTTGGGCACAGATGGTAGCTGCTGCCGCCCAGGTCTTGGGTCTGCCCCAGGCCCTTAGGCCACAGCGTCACGGCCACTTCCTGGCAGGGAGAGAAAATCTAGGCCTCGGACTCCTCGTGGGGGCTGGAACCTGTAAATAACAAACTGGGATACTGGGGGCTCCAGGTCCAGAGGCTGCCGTGCCTCGGGGACAACTGCACATACACAAGCGCCTAAAGAAAGTATGAACCATAGAGGACCTGGGAGAGGAGCAGGTCCGTGACTCCCTTCCTCCACGCTCCCCGCAGCTCCCTGGTTGCAGAGGTGCACACCTCCCACAGGGCACTGCACCACGCCTGCTGCTCTGCCGTGGTCGTGCGAACAGATCTGGTGGCGCTGTTGTCTGCGCGCTTGCAGATGGTGCACGCGCTTGCCAGGCGCACAGTATGAAGAAGCGGCGGTGCTGGGACTTGTGTTTCCGAGGGAGACACACGTCGGCCGAGCAGGGCCAGGGCAGTGGGGCATGAAGGGCTCTTCGGCCCACTCGGACTTCGGGGTGGCCGCGGGGTTGCAGCCTGCAAGTTTCATCTGGGTCTCAGAGAGGTGGGTTTGGCTGGGTGTCCCTCCCTGAGCCGCGGGGAAAGGCCAGCAGAGACGGCCTTTGAGGTGGTGGGCCACGGGGAGCAGCAACCTGCAAGCAGTGGCCCGTTTAGGTGCCTGGCATCTGTGCCTGCCTCCCGATTTGAAGGACACAGAGCGTGTGTCCTATGGCCTATAACACCAGGGATCTTAGGACTCCAAGACCGACCCGCCCTGGTCTCTGCCCTCATCCCTCCAACAATCATTCTGCAACCCACACCTCTTGAGGTTAACCCTCAAAACCGGGGCACCAGAGTTTGAATCCGGCCTAGGCCGGGCATGCAGCTGTGCCCCCGGGACCCAGCCTTCTCAGGGGCCAGGTGTGCTGGTGTCTCGGCCAGTCAGCTGACTTGGCCGCGTTCAGGGCAGATGGTGCAAGTGCAAGGCCAGTTGATTGCAATGGAGTCCATGGAGGTGGCACTGGTGATTGGCCACTGTCCCTTGTGGCAGACCCTCTGGCTCCCACCACCCCAGGTTTCTTGGCATGTCACCTGTGTACTACCTTCCCACCCAGGGATGAGTTTGTGCCATCTTTCAGATCTCTCTGCCTTGGTTTAGGTAAACTGGATCTGTCCCTGTGCACAGACCATACCCAGAACAACTCTAAGCGGCCACTGAAGGTTCTGTGGAGGAAGACTTGGCCAATTCTCAGGGACACCTCCTTCACTCCACCCCTCCTCACACCACCGCTGCCACTTAAGGCCAGCCCCGACCTGCCAAAGGCGCTGATGCTGACACACTTCCTGGGAAGCTCTCTTCTGGCCCTTGTACCCAGAGAGGTTTGAATGGAGCTGGGGATTGAGACTTTTGAGCGGGTACAGGGGACAGGTTCTAGTTATGTAACTCAGGCTGGCCTCAAACTTTCGGCAATCCTCCTGCCTCAGCCTTCTAAGTGCTGGGATTACAGGTGTGTCTGGAGAAGAGGCTGAGCTGTGGCCCTGTGTAAGAGGGTGTTGGGGAGGGGCTTCTTCCGGTAGGGCACACCTTTGACCAGACAGGAGGAGGGGCCTGGCTCCTTTTTTCACACTAATCCTATGGCAGCCTGCGCAGGACTTCCTGAGGAAGGGGCTGGTTTGTGACCTGAAATCTTGGCGAAGCCAGTGTACTATGTGAGTGGAGCTGGGATCCTTGGACATCTTTTCTTCTTTCCTTCCTTCTTTTGTGGGCACGGTGCTACTGGGGATTGAACTCAGGGTCTTTGCTACATTCTAGCCCTTTTTTGAGACAAGGTCTCCTTAAGTCACTAAGTTGTCCATGCTGGGCTCGAACTTGTGATCCTCCTTCCTCAGCCTCCCAGTGTGCTGAGTTTCTAGAGATTACCTTTTCTAGAGAATAACTTTTCAAAAGCCATGCTGAGAGCCAGATTTAGGCCACCAGCTACCATCACAAGAATGGGCATCTTGCCAGGCGTGGTGGTGGCACACGCCTGTAATCCCAGCACTCAGGAGGCTGAGGCAGGAGGATCGCTATGAGTTCAAGACCAGCCTGAGCTATATAGTGAGTTCCAGGTCAGTCTCAACCCTGTCTCAAAAAACCAAAA